GGAACACAAGGAGGAAGAGGGCCACGAGGAGGAGGAATGGGGGGAGGAGGAGGAGGAGGAGGAGAGGAGGAGAGGAAGAGGAGGATGAGGATGAGGAGGAGGAGGAGGAGAAGGAGGAGGAGGAGGAGGAGGAGGAGGAGGAGGAGGAGGAGGAGTGTGGGGGATGAGGAGGAAGATGGGGAAAAGGAGGAATGACGATGGGGAGGACGACGACGGCGGCAAAGTACGGCGCCGACAACGACCGCGTGGTCGAAAGGCGTCTCTTCGTCGTCGTTTTCGTCGCCCTTTATCCCGCTACATTCTGAGTAACTCCTCCCTGTCGCATCCTTAGGCATAAGTCCTCCATGTCGCATCTCTAGGCGTGTCGGTAGGGCGGGCCTGGCGTTTCGCCTGAGACTTACTTACCATGTATGGTACTGGCGTTTGAAAATCGCAGCAGCTTCACGGATGGAGGAGGGTGGTGCTCAGTGGTTCTCGCCATAGTGTTGATCACAGTTTCTTTATAAACGTTGGCAGCAATTCCAGGGATGAAAGGGGGGGTCAACATGGCGTTCTCGCCTCAGGGCCACGCGCACACGTTTCACAACGCTGCACTCGCCTCAATGGAGGGTGGTTCCTTTTCAAAGTCGGGCTCTCGTTTTCTCACCGCGAACATTCGTTCCAACATCTGGCAACAGTTTCAAGGCGAGAGCATTGGTCGTTCTCAACTTGGGGCTATCTCCTCAGTTCTGGGCACAGTCGTTCTTGAATGCAACATTTAGTTGGATTGGGGGACTATTTGTTAACTGGAGGTGTCGACCGAGACTTTGCTGGAGGCCTGGGACTTCAACGAATGTAGCGCTGCACGGATCCATGGCAGCTCTCTTCCGAAACGGAGTTGCCGTTCGAGCCTTCCTCGAAGTGTTTGACCTCGAGTGCAAATTTGTACAGCAGCTGCACGGGTGGGGGTGGTCTTTCGGAATGGAAAATAGTTGGACACCTCGCTTAACTGTGTGATCATTGTCTCGTGATGTCGATCGAGTACGCGCCGCTATCAGAGCGGTGCCCTCGCCAACATGGCAGGCCCAACTGTGAGGTCTTTCCAGGGAGGCGCTTATTTTGGCAAGATGCGGGCTGATGAGGGGCGTGTGATGAGGGGGCTTGGGGCGGGACTTTAGTCCTCCTCCGCCTCCTCCTCCTCCTTTTCTTCCTCCCTCTGGGGAGGAGAGGGAGGAGCAGCGGGGGGGAGGGGGGAGTCGGAGCGAGGATGATGGAAGGTGATGGGGAAGAGGAGCAGGAGGTCGGCGACGGCGACGATGACGACGAACAATGATGACGTCGGCGATGGCGACGAGCGGCGACGACGGCGATAACGATCTCCCGCTTCCTCTCACCTCCTCGCTCCTTCTCTTCCTCCCCCCCCCCCCGGGGAGGAGGAGGAGGAGGAGGAGGAGGAGGAGGAGGTGGAGGAGGACGAGAAGGAGGAGGAGGAGGAGGAGGATGAGGAGGAGGAGAGGGAGGAGGAGGAGGGGGCAGGAGGAGAAGGCAGGAGTGGGAGAGGTGGGATGGAGCGGGGAGGACAGGTGGAGGAGGAGAAGGACGAGGAGGAGAAGGAGGAGAAGGAATAGGAGGACGAGGCGGAGGAGGAGGCGGAGGAGGAAGTGGAGGAGGAGGGCAGGAGGAGGAGGAGGACGAGGAGGAGGAGGAGGAGGAGGAGGAGGAGGAGGAGGGGTTGAGGAGGAGGATGGACGATGTGGCGCCCTTCGACGCTGTCCCTGTCGTCGTCGTCGCGACGGCAGGCGCCGGGCCGGACCGTGGCGATGCCGGTGTTGGTGCGCCTCGAGAAGTTTGTGCACGGTGGGCAGAAGTCGGTGGCGCGGACGTCTCGGTCTGTCGTCCGCGTCGATCTCGCCGTCGTCGTCATCCCTCTCCCCCTCCCTCGTCGTTTCATTTTTTCTCCCTCCCTTTGATGACGTGAGACAAACATAGACCGACTGGGATTGTAGCGTCTGTCCTCCCCTCATCCTTGTCTCATCCCCTCCTGCTCTTTCTCCTCTTCCTCCTCCTCGTCATCATCCTCAGCATCATAATCATCAGCAACAGCAGTGGCAGCAGCAGCAGCACTATGATCATCAGCAGTATCATCATCATCATCGTCGTCGCCATCATCATCGTTTATCATTTCTCATCATCACCACCATCATCGTCATCATCATCGTCATCGTCATCGTTATCACCATCAACCATCAGCATCACCACCATCAACAGCATCACCATCACGACCATCATCATTACACCCTCCAGGATAATTAAGAAAAAGCAGCTTCGGAGCCAAGGTCTGAGTTTTCTTAGCATATTTAAGAAAATCTGGATCCCAGGGTAGAGTAGAGAGATTTTCTTAAACGTGCAAGCCGGACAGGGGGATTTCTACCGAAACTATTACCGAAACCCGTCTGGATATCTTGCGCGAGAGGTTCCGATTGTCACCGTTGCGCTGTCATTATCATGAGGAGCCGGTTGTGATTGAGTACTTTGTTGCACCTCATTATATTATTCGTTCTTCTTTGCCCGATCCGACCCGACAGCAGTGGCAGTACCCGGCCAGATCTCTTGTGCGGGAGGGTCTGATCGTCACTGTTGCACTATCATTATCATGAGAAGTCGGTAGTAATTAAGTATCTTGTTGCATCTTATTATATTATTCGTTGTTCTTTGTCCGATCCGACCCGACAGCAGTCCCAGTACACAACGGATGTATGGCAGAGGCGTTGTTTTAATCCTTGTGGGTTTGATTTGTATTGCATTGCGTTGTATAGATTGTATACCAAAGTAAGTACACAGACAGACAAGGTACGTAATATTATTTCACGATCCTGGACAGCACAGCTCTCAAGAGAAATACTTTCTAACTAATTTGGTTTTCGGTAATTTTGTTTCAGATCAAAGCGACTAGTAGTTTCGAAAGGGCTAACAGGTCATTTAAGAGCTGGTTGGTGCAAGTCTCGAGTTCCTTATGTACTCAAATGGTTCTTAATCATGTTTATTCAGATCATTTTGGACAACAAATAATTCACGAATGTGCTACATAATTTTGCTTTCGGTAATTTCGTTTCAATTAAGACAGTTTAGTTGTTTCGAGAGAGCTAGCTAGCAGTTTATTCCTGAGTTGGCCGGTGTAAGTTTTTAAGTTCCTCATGCATTCAAGCGGTCCTTAACCATATGCATTTAGAGTACTCTAAGCAGAAAAATGTATCCCGAATGTGCTGAATAATTTTGTTTGCGATATTTCCTTTGAGTTAAGAGTGTTTAGTTGTTTCGAGCTAGCTAACAGTTTATTCAAGAGCTGGCCGGTGCAAGTTTTGAGTTCACTATGTGTTCAAATGGTTCTTTATCATTTTTATTTAGAACATTTTGAACACAAACATGTGCTCACATTTGCTGAATAATTTTGCTATCAGCAATTACGTTTCAGTTAAGAGTGTTTCGTCGTTTCGAGAGAGCTAACAGTTTTTTCCTGAGTTGGCCGGTGCAAGTTCTGAGTTTTGTCATGTACTCAAACGGTTTTTAATCATATTTTTTTCAAGCGTTTAAAATTGCGTCCAAATCTTCTCAACTTCTACGTGTGGACGAGCAACGGGTCGCTGGCAGCGGCACCCAGCGCCAAGCAGGTTGAAGGCTCGAAGTACCCGGAGGTCAGAGGCATCGCCCAGTGCGCGACGACGCCGACATTGTGCGACGCAGGCTCCCGGTGTGCCCAGGTCAGTGGGTCGATGTGCTCCTTTCGAAGGTGGCAGCAGCGGACCTCGGGGTTGTCGACGCAGTCGAGTACGTCACGAAGAGCGACTCATTCAAGCAGGCCGTGTCCGGAGGGGCAGCGCAGTCAGCCTTAGATTCGTTCAGTGGTGGATGCATGGAGTTCGCGGTGCTCTTCGCAGTTGAGGACGACGGGAATGGCGCGAGGACGAGTCCTAACATGTACCCAGACGACCTGGTGGAGACATGGGTGGCATGCGCGCTGCTGTGGGCAGAAGCACTTGCAGAGGACAACGAAGATGCCCTGAAGCTGCTGGAGGGCCCGGAGCTTAGCAGGAGCGAGACCTCGGCGGAAGTCGCAGCATGGGCATTCCACGACAGTTTCGAGAGGCCGATCCATGCAGGGGCAAGAGTGGAGGTCAACATTCTGTCTGGCGCAGTGGACGTCCTCTCGAATTACAAGGGCGGCAACTTGGCGGAAGAGGTCCTGCCGAAGATCGACCCGGAGACGCCGTTGAAGGCTAGGTTCTTCAGGGCAGCCACTCGGGTGAAGATCTTCGGGGCAGGCCATGCATCAGGACCATCGAGGGGCAGGGTGAGCTTGAATACGTCGACGACGTTGTCGATCAGCGAGTTGTAGTTTGGGTTGGCCCTTTCAGCGAAGATGGAGGAGCGCGCGGACATGGCTGCAGCCGGCCAGGGGAAGGCGAAAGCGATCGCAATGTCAAGCGCAGTCACGGGCTCGGCGCCCACGACGCAGGAGGACCAGAAGAAGCTCGCGGCGCTGACGAGGGCATTCATGAAGATCACCTCGTGGGAGCTGGAGGCCGCGTACTCGGCATGCCCGAGGGTGGGGGCCAGAGTCAGGATCATGGCGTTCCACCCTCGAGTCACGGCCTGGGAGCACTCAGGGCGCGTGCTCATCAGGCAGCCGCTGTCGCCATGGGGCATGCAGAAGGTGGAGATATCCTTCCAGAGCGACCAGATCTTGCCCGTGACAGGCGCGAACACGGCCCTGCCGGCAGCGCAGCGCCGGCAAGAGCTCCTAAAGTTCATCAAGATGCTGAGGGGCGTGGGCATCAGAGGAGGAAAGGCTCGTCGGCACGTGCTGCACGGGACAGGCATCACAGACGTTGCCTGCGGCCAGGACTGCAAGCGCCCAGGGGGAGCTTCATACCAGCAGCAGCTGCTGGCCACGACGGGGTCACTGCGCGAAGCCGGAGCGATCTCAGGAGACCTTGCAGCCGAGGGCTGGCTCCGCAGATCTCCGGGAGCGCCAGTTGCAGCAGCCACTACGATGGCAACCAAGGCACTCGGGGCGACAGACCATGCGCTTGACGAGTCGTCGGTGAGTTTTTCTCTCATCAGCGCCATCAGCACCTCCACCCAGATGGCGCCCTACCTGGAAGCAGTCGGGAGCGAGGCGGCCGCGGTCTCAGACGCCAGCATCGCCACATAATGCAAGAGCATCGCGGCGAGGGCAGTCGCTGCAGCGAACGCAGCTGCGACTGCGGCAGAACTAGCTCGCGAGGCCAAGGCAGTGGAGGAGGCGATCGCGAGGTTCAAGACGGCGCGCAGCACGGCCTCCACCAAGGAGCTCCAGGTAGCGCTTGACGCACTGAAGGTCGCAGCCCAGGATTGGGCGATAGCCGAGGCAGCTTCGGCTGAAGAGGCGACCGAGGACTTGGCGGGCAGCGTCAGCAGCCTGCCCAAGCGAGCAGCAGGCGCAGGGAGACAGTGCGCAGACATCGATATCGTGCAGATCGACAACGACAAACAATGCGCCCCAATTTTGCTGAAAAAAATTGCTTTCAGCAATTTCGTTTCAGTTGAGAGCGTTTTTAGTTATTTCGAGCGGGCTGACATATTATTCAAGGTCTAGCCAGTCTAAGTCTCAAGCTTCTCATGTGATCAAAAGGTTCTTAATCACATTTATTTACAGCACTATCAACAGACAAATGCGTCACACATCTGTTGACTAATCCTGCGCTCGGTGATTTCTTTGGTTGTTCCGACAGAGGTTTCAGTTTATTCAAGAGTTGGCCGTTGCAAGAATATTTTATTGTTGTCCCAGTTGAGAGTGTTTATTTGTTTTAATTGATGTCGGTAAGCTAAAAATTGTAAGTCGTCCGAAGTCTCTTCATCATGGGTATGCATAGTAATCGAGCTGTCTCAGATGAGAAGCATTCGTGTGAAGAGTTGAGCGGGCCGTTTGGCTTCAATATGTTTCATCATGTTCTCTATTATCCGTAGTCATTGAGCCTCAGGTGCTAAGGAATTTCTAGCTTTCAGCTTCTGCTTAAGCAACTTTCTTCATCGGGCGTACTCGCTGACCCGTGGGCCTTCACATGTCACATATATGTTTTACGTTTATATGTATTCCATTGCATTTATTGCGTGCACTTTCAGTGAATTGGCATCAGCAGGAAAGAATTGCACTACAAATCCGGCTTCCAAGGGAATAGTTGTTAAAGATGACGAGTCAGAAGACGTTGTGGCAATACTTCCAGATGATGATTGCGAGCTTCCCCAATCAACGTTGGCAGACATTGGTTTTGAAGGGGCAGCTGCACCTTTGCCGCAAGTTCCTGATGAGCACGAAATTACAGTAGTCGACCAGAATGGAGGCATTATGAATACTCAGAGGCCGATGCAGCACACATGGTTAAACTTCGGATGTTCAGGAGCTGCTTCTTCTTCATCGATGGGCGAGCGATTCCAGTGTAAGATATGTTCAGAAACTTGTGCAACTGGAGCAGCTTCAGCTTCGCATATTCGTCATCGTCATCCAGGGCAGAATTTCAGTCTGCCTGGTTCTGCTACAGGTCAATTTTTTATTTGAAAATGTGACTCAAGAGAAAGAGTATGCGGAATATGAAGATGACGGGCAGGTTAATATTGAAGATGAAGTGGAAGAGGTGGCCATTCAGAAAGTTGGAAAAAAGGCGTGGATCAAATCAGCGGCAGAGACGTTCTTATGAGGAAGAACTTCGGTTAAACGATCAGCGCGAAGATGCGATGGCTTTTCGGCGCAAGCCCGACACCCGCAACCCAGATGGCACAGCAGCAGGCGCAGCTGCGCCTTATCTGACATCATGGTCTTGGGAACAACCGAACCAGAAGAAGAACATTTTGGAGATGGTGCAGGAAAGTGCTA